TTACAAAAGATGCCTTAGGAAAGTGTTCTTAGGCCCAAAATACCTAATACTAAAACACAAGAGAGCCCAAAAATATTTAACTAAACAAAGGCTTAATGACTCAAAGGCCCAAATAGCCCACTAATGCTCTCTTGGTCTTGGTGCACTTAACCCCATCACAGGCCTACTATATTTATAGGCAACCAAGGGAAAAGTTCCCTTATACAAAAGCTGATGTGGGACAACGCCACACTAACAAATCTCACCATTATTTTGTCGTTTTATAAAGGGCAAATTCCACTTTACCCTCCTGTGATTTAGCGTTTTCTTACATAACTCTCTTATGATTTCAAAAGCTATATATAACTCCCTTATGGTTTGGATTAAAGTGTCAAAGTGATGGGAATGATCATTCGTAACGGTGTCACCTAAAATGTCAAAATTACTCTTATGTAAAGTTGAAAATTATGTATTAACCAAGGGGAGTTATGTGTATATTTTGAAAATCATAAGGGGGTTATATGGTAAAGTATTAAACCATAAGGAGGTTATATGGTAAAATATAAAAATCATACAGGGTTAATGTGTCATGTATTTATAAGAGTAATTTCGACATTTTTAGAAGTTCCATTACGAGTGACTATTTCCGTTACTTTGACATTTTAATCCAAACCATGAGAGGGTTATGTATAGCTTTTGAAACTATAAGGGGTTATGTAAAAAAGGGTAAACCACAGGGGAGTAAAATGTAATTTGCCCTTTTATAAATGAACACAAATTGATTGGATTTAGATGGATAATGCAAAACCATTATCTATCCTTTGACCATTTACTTTCCCTTCTACTTGTATAAGTACCTCTCCAATAGTGAGTTCATTCATTGCTGCCGCTGACACTTCCGATAATCAATTTTTGGAAAAATTCTGGCATGGCGATACCCGCTGTTTGGCATAATTATATGAGGGAGGAGGCCAACCAGGTCCAATATTCCAAGTCACTTAGTTCAACCCAGCCAACGAAACCAAAAAAAAAGAACAGAAAAGAAAAAATTACCTCTAAAATCTCTACTTGGGGTGGAATTAGGTAGAGGTGTGCAAAAATTAGTAAATCCGAGAAATTCAATCCACAGCTAAGACAAAATAATCGAGATGTCTTATCTTGTTCGACAAAATTTGCTAACTCATATGCAACTCTATTGGCTTCCTTAATAATCTAATCCGTAGCTAAGACAATCAACCTTGTCAAAGATATTTCTATATCTATGTCGCAGAGACGCTCTGCATCATTCATCATTCTTCAGTAGATATTTGTTCGAGTGCATTAATCATAATGTGATGTGAATTTTGTCCTTAAATCTATTTGGCAAAACATGTAGCAGTGTGCAGTTCGCATGCACGGACCGGATCCGTTAAAACAGGATATCTGCTCAAGCAGATTGAGCAGATACCCTCTCTTATACATGAATAATCATATGAATGCAGATTGGATCAGTGGCTTAGATATCTCATCTGCTTGCACCCCTTGAATTAGACGCCATCTTCCATAGACTATGTGTAGTTCTTTCTTTTCTTTAATTTTTTTTTGTTTCTAATTAGATTTATATGGATGACAAGATAATTTATTCAAATCCATCAACTTAACATAGGCATCAATTTTATATGGATATAACCAGCTATGTTATGTTATGTTAATTTCAAAGCATCACTATGGTGAGTTCACTGTCTTGTCTGCATGGCATGATGCAGCCTTTTCAGCAAAATCTGATGCACAAACTTTGGAAGGAAGTGTTGGCGCTAGTGTATGTAGTACTAAAATAAACATGAAAAAAACCTCTCTTATGAAATTTGGAAGCATGATTGCTTTTGCTCTATCTCAGCTGAGATGGGCCAATTGGTTAATTTGTTTACTTCTATGAACTGCAAAATGAGACATTGATGGATCCTCCCTTTAAATACAGGACTTCGGAGGTCTTCTTTCCTTGTGAACGCACACGTTGAAACTTAATATTTTGCCGTTAATTGGACTCTTATATTCTCTTGACCTGATAGATACTGTGCCAATTGTAATGCTGATAAAAGCAGTCCATTTCTCCTTCCTGCATCGAAACGAAGGCAAAATCAAAAGAGTTCAATTCAAGCCTACGTACGGTTTGTTTTCCTTTCTCACCTTTTGCAATTTCTTTTCTAAAAATTTTTATTAAAATTTAGAATTCAATTATCGAATAAAGACTTTGCAAAGTCTATCAGTGGCATTTACATTACAAACCGATCATAGAGAATTGATAGTCAACGTTTACTGCCTCTAAATGAATTCCATGTGGCAAACTCAACAACATTTTAGTGAAATGTATTTAAACACTAGCTTAAATTGATTTCTGTCTATAAGAAAAAATACAAATAATTGTGATAGGTTGCAATTTTATCATTTATTTTATTATTAATTTCTCCTATTACCTGATCCGATGTGGATTAATTGTTGGATTCTACTCACTTTTAGTATTTTGCATTTATTTCAGGAAGTAGAACGAAAATATGATAACAAGTGCCAATTTAACAGGAAAGGAGTCCAAGTCACAAAACTTATTCCAGGGGCATTGCTGGCAAAGAAAAACTTTTGCCCATTTTAGTAATTGCCGAAGGAGAGGACGGCTAAAATATTTTTTTCCTTGGCTGCCGCACAGCAGAGAGCAGGGGATAGAAATTAGAATGAAACACAGAGAACTAGTGGACTACTTGGAAGCTTAGTTGTTGACTTTTCTTTGGGAGCTTTTCCTTCTTCGTATAAGGGACCTCTAGCTTAGTTTTTTTCTTTTTGGACTTTTCCTTTTTAGCTTTTGGCAGTGGAGTTCTCCTACGCATGTCAGGAACCTTATGAAGAATTGAATCATTCTCTGTAGTTGCTGGTTTTTCCTTATTCAATCGATCAAATTGAATTCTCACGAACAAGGCTAAGGGCCGCTACTGTTGCTTCAATTTCCTGTGGGCTTCGTTCATCAAAGATAAACTAATTTCATCACTCTAGTCAAGAAACAACGGAAACTTTGGTTCACCTAAAAAAATTGTGAGATCAATTTAATTTTACCTTTTTCTCTTATTTATTAGTATTCGCATATTCCTTGATTGCAACACTTATGATTATTTAATTAATTGATTGTCTTAAATCCGGATAATTAGTTAATTTGATAATCTATTGTCAATTAGGGCATTTAAATCCATAATTGTTTATTTGCCTTGAAATAGTGACAACTGGCACGATTAGATTTGTATCAGGGAGATATGCGGGCTAATATGAAATAACCCTGGTAGTGCGTTATTTGATTAGAATAGAACTCTTCTAATACGTAAGGCAATTGGAGAATTAAATCTTATGGACGTACCTAAGATTATTTCTCAATTAGAGTAGTGATTAATGGGCGTATCTTAATCACCGACACAGTAAGGAGGAGTTGACTGTCATCGCTTGTTTGACAATTATAACCTATTTATTAATAAATAATTGGAATTGCTTGTGCATCGATGATCAATTAGGTGAACCATTGATGAAATTATTTCTTGGCTAAGCATTTAATTATTATTGTCTTGATTTTAGTGAATTGTCATTTAATTTTTAGTTAGCTACTTTATTTTTAGTTAAATTGTTTTAATTGTCATCCTCTATACAAAAACACTCCCTGGGTTATTTTGGATTTCGAAAGAGACAAATACACCCAGTTCCTGAGAATACGACTCTACTTGCCATGTTTACAAATTAATAATTATTTGTGTAAAAGTCATCCCATTCGGATATATCGGATCAAGCAAACTCTTCGAAAACAGGGTGAATCAAGTAACCCATTACACACCTAGAGTCCCTACTCCAATACTTGGAATCAGATTTTGGCTATTTTAATTCGCAATTAGCTTTATTTTTATTATTGCATAGATTTCGACAACCTGTCAATTTTTGGCACCGTTGCCGAGAACTGGTGTTAGTTATTTGTTTCTTTTTGAGCTCATCTTTGTTCTAATTTTCTGGTACTTTTTGAATGTATGTCTCGTTCTTCTCGTACAGGTGAATTAATTTTCGACCTCGAGGTAGAGAAGACTGCGTGTAGAACAAGAAAAGAAACCAAACAATTCAGATAAGAGCACTCCAGTGCTGCATCTCAGAGACCTGAGCCAGAAGTTGAACCAATAGATTCGTTTGGTGACACTTCGAGTGATTCGGATCAAGAAAAAGTCACTATGGCTAATGCACGAACATTAAGAGAGTTGGCTGCTCCTGATTTAAATCAGTAGCCTTTATGCATTACTTTTTCGAGTTTGAGTGATAACACTTCATTTGAATTAAAATCTGGGCAAATTCATCTTTTGCCATCATTCCATAATTTACCAAGTGAGGAGCCTTACAAGTACCTGCAAGAGTTTGATGTCATGTGTAACAGTATGAAACCCCCGGAAATCACAGAAAAGTAAATAAAAATAAGGGTATTCCTCTTCTCCTTGAAGGACTCTACAAAAGACTGGCTATACTACTTACCACCAGGTAGTATCACTACGTGGGACTAGCTGAAGAAAAAGTTCTTAGACAAGTATTTTCCCGCATCTCGAGTTGCAAGTCTAAGGAAGGAGATCTGTGGTATCAATCAGCACCCAAGGGAGTCGCTTTATGATTACTGAGAGCGATTCAAGAAGTTGTGCATCAAGTGCCCTCAGCACCAAATAAGTGAGCAACTGTTCATCCAATAGTTTTACGAGAGGTTACTTTTCAGAGACAAAAGCATAATTGATGCTGTAAGTGGAGAAACATTGGTGAACAAAACTTCTCGGGAAGCATGGGAGCTAATTGAACGAATGGCTGAGAATTCGTAGCAATTTGGTACGAGAGAAGATGTCCCGATACGTAAGGTGAATGAGGTAGAGACATCGTCTATCCAGCAGTAGTTGACTGAGTTGACTTTTTTTGTTAGGCAACTGGCTGTAGCAAATGCATCTCAGGCCAAAGTGTGCAGGATTTGCACTGGTATAGATCATTCTAGGAAGATGTGCCCACTGATTCAAGAGAAAAGTGCGGAGCAAGTGAACATGGCTGGTCACGCGCCCGCGCTAAGAAAGCCCTATGACCCGTACTCGAATACGTATAATCCCTGTTGGAGAGATCACCCCAACTTTAACTATGGAGGATATAGGCAGCCCAATTTTGCACCAAATAGGCAGCAAGGGTACCAACAACAGTACCAACCTTGTCCGCCACTACCCCCTTCAAACTCAAGTTTGTCTATGGAAGAGATGATGAAACAATTAATTGCTAATCAACAAAAAACGGATTCTGACCTACAAAGTATGAGGAATCAACTGGACCAGATACAAAAAATGCAAAGTCAGATGAGTCAGATGGCAGTGGCAATCAACCGCCTAGAATCCCAAGTTTATGGAAAATTGTCGTCTCAACCTGAATTGAACTTGAAGAATGTAAGTGCAATAATCTTAAGGAGCGGGAAGGAAATTCAGAAGCCCGGACTCATGATTCCAAAGGACAAGGACGAAGAGAAGATTGAGAAAGAGCTTAAGGCAGAGAACACAAGCAGCAAAAATCCAGTGGTACTCCCTGACCTGATCAAAGACGTTAAAACTAATCCCCCTCCATTTCCTAGCAGTTTGGAGAAATCGAAAAATCAAGACAAGGAGAAAGAGATCTTGGAGGTGTTTTGCAAGGTAGAGATCAATATCCCTCGGCTAGACGCAATCAAACAAGTGCCAAAGTACGCAAAATTTTTGAGAGATTTATGCGTCAACCGAAGAAGGCAAAGGGATATAAAAGGGTTATCGTGGGGAAGAATGTGTCAGCGGTTCTACAAAAGAAACTCCTACCGAAGTGTGGGGATCCAGGTATGTTCACTATCCCCTGTAGAATAGGCAACACTTTGATTAGGAAGGTCATGCTGGACTTAGGATCATCGATTAATGTAATGTCTAAATCTATCTATACTTCTCTGAATTTAGGTCTATTAAAAGAAATTGGGATAATAATTCAGTTAGCTGACCGAACCAATGCATACCCTAATGGGTTGATTGAGGATGTGTTGGTCAAAATTAATGATTTGGTATTGTCAACTGACTTTTATGTATTTGACATGGATGATGATCATTCCCCTAACCCCTCACCTTTGCTACTGGGTAGACCCTTTTTAAGCACAGCACAGATAAAAATTGATGTTAATGAGGGTACCTTGTCCATGGAATTTGATGAAGAAATAGTCCACTTTAATATTTTTGATACAATGGAATATCTTGTAAACTCTCATTCTGTATTTGCTATTCATGCTATTAATTTCTTTGTGCAAGAATTTTCTGAGTTCGCTTGTAAGGATAAATTCAAAGTTGCTACGAGCAAGTATCAGGGGATGAAAGCAATTTATGAAATAAAAATGAATAAAAAATTAAGAAAGAAGACTGCACTCAATGGTTATTTGGATCTCGGAGAATGGCCACCGATTACAAGAAAAATTGAATTACATCCAGATTGAAGAGTAGTGTTTAATGTCTAGTTAAAAACATTAAAGAGAGGCGTTTATTGGAAGGCAATCTAATTTCTTTTAGTTGTTTGTTCGATTTGTTTGACTGTTTAAATATGTTTTCCTTGAGTTTGATTGATTTCGGGTTTCAATTTTCGTTTTGATGATTCGTAGGTGTCTCTCTAACATGACGCGTCCGCATCAAGTCGTATGGAGAGCTCATGGTCAGAAGGGTTCTTGCCTTTTTTAGACGCCTGCGTCAAGTCGTATGGAGAAATCATGGTCAAAAGGGTTCCTACCCTCTTGACGTGCCCACGTCACGTTCGCGGGAAAGGTAAGTATTCAAAACTCGAAGACAGTTTTCAATTTTCTGTTACTCTCTAATTTTAAATTTTGAAAATAAGTTTTGTCCATAATAATAATATTCAAAAAAATAAAAAAAAATAATTAAATAAAAAACTTTTTAAAAAATTTTAATTGCAAAAAAAAGAAGACTTTTCGTTTAGTTATAACTTTTGATTTTCAAAATTAGAATTTAAAAAAAATCTAAAAATGAAAAAAAAAACTAAAACTATTTTGCTTTTGTTTTTCTCTTTTCTTTTCATTCTTTTCTTTTCTTCCTTTTCTTTCTTTCTTTCTTTTCTTTTTCTTTCTTTCTTCCTCTTTTCTTTCTTTCTTCTCTCCTGTTTCTTCTTCTTTTTCGGTCGAGCACCCCTCATGCCCGCTGCCATCTCCTCCACCTCGTTTGCATGCCGCCGTCCTCTCCTGTCCACAGCCATTCGCTGCCGTCTTCCTCTCTTCACTACCACGCTTCTCTCTCTCACCATTTGTCTCTCTCTCTCTCTCGTCGATCCACCCCATCGCCACCCGCGAGCTCCTGTCTGCCTCGAACCAGTCGCTGTAGTCCAGCCTGCCACCAGCCCGAGCGCGCGACCAGCGTACACCACCTGGCGCGCGACCCTCCTCCAGCTCGCCCTCTGTCTCTCTCTCCAATCTCTCACACTCTCTCACCGACGCCACCCACAGTAACTCGTGCGGCCACTTCGCACGCCACCAAGCCTGCCGTCGCTGCTCACTCACCATCCACGTCGGTTAACCGTCACTTCCAGCCGCTCCATCATCGTGCTTCGGAAACGCACTTGAATTTGGCAGCCCTCATCTATCGTGCAGGTCTTACGCCTCACTTTGGTTATCACCCACCACTTTGACCCGATTTCAGGGAAATTTTGTTGCCATTTCTCCTACTTTTGATGTTTATTTGCTACATTGAGGGTAATGTATCATTTAGGTGTGGGGGGGGGATCAGTTGTGGTTCTAGTTTTTAGTAGTTTTTAGTTTTTAGGTGTTTTTCCTTTATTTCTAGTTTGTTATTTGTCTATCTTTTGTTCAGTTTCTTTCTTTCTTTTTAGTGATTAGCTCTCATGTGAATGCCAAAGTTTAATATTGGATTGTTGACTCTAATTCTATTATTGCCAAGTTTTAATAATAAAAGTGTATCGAATTAATGTGGTTGAGTCCAGAATATCTCTTTGGTGAATATCAGTGATTGCTTGACTTTTTTGGGATCTTGGTTAACTTTTCCAGGCATAGGGAATAATTGTTGGCATTTTCATGTGAATTGGTCCAATATTAACTGTAATTCTCCATGTTTGGCAATAATGAGGCTAGCTGCTCCTATTTTTGTTTTTAGTGGTGTTATTCTGCATTATTGTGTTATTTGGCTGTAAATAAATTTGACTGTACTCCGCTATTAGTTACTACTAAGTAATCGAGAATTTTCATCTAAAAGTATCGATTTGTGAGTCAAAAAGTAGTAATTTCTATGAGTACGTGGTCGTATAGCGATAAGAACTGAGTAACCAGATTCCTTCATCTGAAAATGTTGGAGTTCGCGTCAAAAGGCTCTAATAGTTAGAGACTAAGCCTTTTGTGCTATCTTAAAAAAAAAGAAAAAAGAAACAAAGGAAAAAATAAATAATAGAAAACGTGAAAAAAAACGTAGGTTGTGTTAGTGTGTGATAGAAGTCAGCTTGCCAATTTATGAATTTAATGTTGAGATTTTGATTAATATTTGGACCATTTGCTGATAAATGTTGTGCGCCATTCCTTTTTCTTAGATTAGTTAAGTTGAAATTGAAAGAGTTTGTGGTTTAGAAGCTAACCGGGGTGATGTTTCTCGGATTTTGATCACTGATATTTGATATATGATTTTGTCTTGGTATTTTGGCAATATGGTAGATGGAGCAATGATCATGGTCAAATATTAGTGCTTGTTTGCTGTTCTCATGCTTGAGAGTAAGCATAGTTTAGGTGTGGGGGGGATTGGTATGTTGCAATTTTATCATTTATTTTATTATTAATTTCCCCTATTATCTGACCCGATGTGGATTAATTGTTGAATTCTACTCACTTTTAGTATTTTGCATTTATTTCAGGGAGTAGAACAAAAATATGATAACAAATGTCAATTTGACAGGAAAGGAGTCCAAGTCACAGAGCTTATTCCAGAGACATTGCTGGCAAAGAAAATTTTTTGCCCATTTTAGTAATTGCTGGAGGGGAAAGGACGGCTAAAATATTATTTTCCTTGGCCGCCGCACAGCAGAGAGCGGGGGATAGAGATTAGAATGAAACGCAGAGAACTGGCGGACTACTTGGAAGCTTAGTTGTTGATTTTTCTTTGGGAGCTTTTCCTTCTTCGTAGAAGGGACCTCTAGCTTAGCTTTTTCTTTTTGGACTTTTCCTTCTTCGCTTTTGGTAGTGGAGTACTACTCCGCATGTTAGGAATCTTATGTAGAATTGAATCATTCTTTGCAGTTGCTGGTTTTTCCTTATTCAATCGATCAAATTGAATTCTCACGAACAAGGCTAATGGCCGCTACTGTTGCTTCAATTTCCTGTGGGCTTCATTCATCAAGGATGAACTAATTTTATCACTCTAGTCAAGGAACAACGGAGGCTTTGGTTCGCCTAAAAAAATTGTGAGATCGATTTAATTTTATCTTTTTCTCTTATTTATTGGTATTCGCATATTTTTTGATTACAGCACTTATGATTATTTAATTAATTGATTATCTTAGATCCGGATAATTAGTTAATTTGGTAATCTATTGTCAATTAGGGCATTTAAATCCATAATTGTTTATTTACCTTGAAATAGTGACAACTGACACAATTAGATTTGTGTCAGGGAGATACGTGAGCTAATATGAAATAACCCTGGTAGTGCGTTATTTGGTTAGAATAGGGCTCTTCTAATATGTAAGGCAATTAGGGAATTAAATCTTATGGACGTACCTGAGATTATTTCTCAATTAGAATAGTGATTAATGGGCATACCTTAATCACCGACACAGTAAGGAGGGGTTGACTGTCATCGCTTGTCTGGCAATTATAACCTATTTATTAATAAATAATTGGAATTGCTTGTGCATCGATAATCAATTAGGTGAACCATTGCTGAAATTATTTCTTGGTTAGACATTTAATTATTATTGCCTTGATTTTAGTGAATTGTCATTTAATTTTTAGTTGGCTACTTTATTTTTAGTTGGATTGTTTTAATTGTCATCCTCCATACAAAAACACCCCTATGTTACTTTGGATTTCTAAAGAGACAAATACACCCAGTTCCTGAGAATACGACCCTACTTGCCATGTTTACAAATTAATAATTATTTATGTAAAAGTCATCCCATTCGGGTATATCGGATCAAGCAAACTCTTCGAGAACAAGGTGAATCAAATAACCCATTGCACACCTAGAGTCCCTGTTTCAGTACTTGGAATCGGGTTTTGGCTATTTTAATTGACAATTAGGTTTATTTTTATTATTACACAGGCTTCGACAACCTGTCAAATTGCACAAACAGTACATCGATTTGTGCATAAAATACCGATTTTGTATAAAGAAAATGTTTAAGTAGCCTTGAATTGAATTAAACCGATGCTACTTGCTTTAAAAGACAACCAGTGACAACTATTGGTTTCATTTCTTGCACATGCTATTCCAAAATGAATTATAAGTTAACAAAATTCATGTTCTCCGGGAATTATTCGATTACCAACTTGTTAATTCATGACTATAACAAAAAATAATTTGTAGTTTTAATTAAGATTATTCAATTAGCGAGTAACATATTAATTTTGTTCAACCAGAATATTTCCGGTAGAATCGTATTTAATTCAATTGTTGTGATTAATTAGTAAAATCATCTAATGAGAATTAGTAAAAGTGATTTCAACTGCCGTATTCCAACTGGAATGAGACAATAAATGTTGTTTTGGAAGAGGAACAAATTCTCCAGCTTATTCAGGTTATGTAAAGTAGGTGGAATTGGAGCTGGTAAATGGTTAGACCTAAAAAAAATGTTTAGAGGTCAAAAAAGAATGCAATGATAAGTTTCCGAGACTAGCTGGCTTATTGGCTTTGGAATTGAATCAGTCAAGTGATTTTCGTTCAAGTGGAGGACTTGAAGATTTCAAAACAAGCCAAATTCAGGCTCGATATTCGTGGCAACAGATTGAACGTGAAATCTTACCAATCCGGGGTAATATGGTGCCAAAAAGCTCATTCATGGATGGATCAACGTATTCAATATTTAGCAATGATGAAAATGAGAAGTCACAGAGTGTAGTGCTGATATTAGAATTTTTGAGGTTCAATCTATTGACACTTGACACATCTATCATTATTGAATGAAACACCAGCACCCGGTTTTGGTTAGCCATTTTTCCATGATATAAAGAGGGAATTATTCTGGTTGGCAAAACTGACTTTCCATTTTAAGAGGGCAGCAGCCATATTTTTTTTCGTAAGTGGGAGATCTTCAAAAACAGAATCTTCTACTTATAATTTCTTTTATCTTACCATCCAATCCAACCTTTCCGTCACTTTATTTACTTGAATAAACTAAGAAATGATATATTGAATTTTATTAACAATGACTAATATATAAGTGGATGCAATAAAGATGAGTCACATAGAAGTGGATGTAATAAGGATGATATGC